GGGGGCTGGAGGAATCCCCCCCTCCTTTTATTTTTTTTATTTGTTTGATTTTTAAAAAATTTTTGTGTTGTTGTTTTTGTTTATTTGTATTTCTTTGGTTCTTTTTTCTCTTGATTTTAGTTGTTTTCTCTTTCGTGTTTTTCTTTATTGTGTATTTTTTCCTTTCTTTCTACTTTTTTTGTGTGTTGGATTTTGGCTATCTGGTTTATTCATAGGGCTATTTCTTTATATATATATATATATTTATTTTAGTTTTTTGTTTCAGTTAATTCTTCCCCTTTTTCTATATTGATTTACCAGCTGTTTTTTATCATCTTAAAGATGTCGACCTTGATTTTGCTTTTAGTGTTTCTCTATTTTTATTTTTCTTCTTTGCTTATTTTCAACTAGTGTTGTATACGTGCTGAGACGCATTTGTCTTTTTTTCACGCATTAATTCTGACTGGCATGGGATGCCTGCCCGAGCTTACAATTGGATTCAAATTTTAGGAATTTGTTTTTCGAAAAAATTGCGCATCCTTTCTGCTAAGAAGCCTTTGTTTCGACTCAAAAGGTAAAAACTGAAAGTTGCATTCTATCTTACTTTTGTTTTGTAATTATGTAATGAGACTTTGATTTAATGTATGCCATTATCGTAATTTATTTCACACAAAAAAGTTTTACAGTATTGTGCTTGTTTACAAAATATTCAGAAATGTTGAAAATTAGTTGATCATTATTTCACTAGCTTTTTTTTAATTATAACAAGGATTGATATAAATATAATAAAATTTACTTTTATAGTAAGCAGATAGCTAATGTCAAAAAATTCTTGCGATACAAGTGAGCTACCTCGCGTTATTGTTTTCGATCTTGATGGTACTCTATGGAATCCAGAAATGTATCAGCTGAGCGGTGGTGCACCATTTTGCCCAGACGAAAAAAATCCTAATATCATGATTGATCGGAGTGGCACAAGAGTTTGTCTTATCGGTGAGACTAGAAATGTTCTTCAGGATCTCATTTTAAACCCCCAGTGGAAGGATACATACTTTGCGATTTCCTCAACTTGTGATTTTCCGGAGTGGGCGGCAAGCCTTCTTGAGTTGTATAAATTTAAGAATGCAGAGGGCAAATCAGTTCCCATGGGATCTTTGTTTTCCGATTTAAAGGAAATTTATTATGCCGGAAAGGATGAACAACATAGAAGAATTCTTAAAAAGGTTCGACAAATTGACAATAGTGTGACCGACTTTTCTCAAATGCTATTTTTTGATAACCAGAGAAATAATATTAGTGCAGTATCTAAGCTTGGAGTGGCTTGCTGCTATTGCCCTGATGGTCTTGTTCCTGGAACTTTTCAAAAGGGGTTAGACCTGTGGCGCAAAAATTATTTGGCATCCTTGTAAATTTTTCATGTAGCATTGTTTGATTACATAACTGCATTTTATAAATATATATCAGCTTTATTATGCAATAATAATAATACTAGTAACAATAATTGCAACAATACAAAATATAAAAAAAATAATTGTCCATAAAAGGCTAGAAGAATAGCTTATTAATTCTTTTTACCTTTTTTAAAAATGTAATTAATTTTTTTTGCTTCTCTTTTTATTTCTGCTGATGATTACTGAGGGCACATAGTACCGAGTTATGGGTATCTTTCCACATTTAGTTGAAGCAACTTCTAGAGATATCAACCAGCTGTTAAAGCTTCAAAAGGTTCATCCACAAGTACGTGCAGATGTGAAACGATATCTTGATGAGTTGATACGAAAATCTTATCAGGAAGTATTTGATCTTCCTGAACACCAGACAGAAAGCACATTTCAGGTTTGCAATAGTCTGGCCAATGAAATCGTGAACACATGTCTCACTGTAGATATACCACGAGCAGACCTTGATACAACCGAGCAAAAATGTCTTGAATTAGAGGAACGTGTGCGACAGATGGAAGGTCTTATCAAATATTACGAATCGTATCAGGATGACTTGAAAATGCTACTCGATGATGTCAAAACATCACATTATTATATGCTCCATAGTTATTTTCGTGAAGTTCTTATATTACGGCGTCGTATTGATCATTTACAGAAAAAATTACGGAAAGAGGATCTTTCCAAATTATCGATCGCATCGCGAAACCGTTCATTGGACTCAGGTGGGGATTTAAATAATGTCTCAAGGAAAAGCATATGTTTTCCTATGAAAAGATATCAATCAGCTCCCGATTTGACTTCAAAGGTCGAGCATATAGACCAGCAATCCAAAACGCAGTTTCCAACTTTGGCTACTATTTTAAACGATTCAGTAATAAACAACGATTTAAATTTACCGAACATTTATGAGCCAATTTCTGGTTTGGAAGCCTTGCAGAGACCGCATCGAGTTATTATTCAAGATAAACCAACAATAGCGAATGAACAATTGGAAGATAGACATAGTACATCAAAATCCACACAAGAATGTGATACCTCGTGTTCTCTCACTAAAAAATCCAAATTGGAGACATTTGATTTTTTTGGGATTGGTGGTATAGCGCGTCATGTCATCGGTGACTACTCTCCTTCGAATAATTTCAAATTATCTGATGTAGAGCAAATGCTGCAATATATTTCTAGAAGTGAGGAGACTGTTGATGCAATTTTTGATTATGAAGAATACATCCGACTTCTAAATAAGTCTCATGTTTTGTTCGAACAGCGAATAGAAAAAATTTTGGGTGAGAAAGACAGAGCTCGACATTTGTCAAGACTTCGCCGAAGCAACATCGCAGAGAATTCTGTTAACCTTGGATCGCAAACGCTGAAATTTTTGCAAGAACAATTGGAATACCAACATGCTCAGACTCTTTCGTCTCAGTGGAATCTGCATTTTGCGATTGATTCAATCAAGGAGCAATTTTATGAGTTCTTGGGACAATTTCAACGGGACATAAATTCTCTTCAACAAAAATACGAAAATGACATATCCTTGATGTCGCAGGTATTTTTGTTGCAACAGTCTCGCTCAAATGCACTTGCCGATTGTTTTAATTCGTTTATGCACGATGTTTCAATATTGCTAGAAAACTTGAGCAAAATCATTGAGTGCAAACATTGTTGCGACCTTTTCAAGGTTCCCTCCGATAGGGTTCATCACCTTGAAGAACTTCTGAAGCAGCGCCCGGGTGCAAAATATTCATACAAGCTCAGGGAACTTTTGGATAAAGTTAAGGAACGTCCTGATACAGATTGTAATTTACTCTGGGGCATCCATTTCTATGTAAATAGTCCAATTGTGAAGGAAGCAGAGTCATTGCTAAAGGCATTTGCAAAAAAATTCAATAAATTGCAGCGAAATTTGAAGAGTCTATTATTACAGAATGAACTTTTATCAGCAGAAAAAGTCAATGCCATGGCGCGACGTAATGGGCGCATGAGTAGTCAGGAATCTGATGCTGAGCTAACAGCGAAAGATAAATTTGAGTTATGGAGAAAATCCAAGATTGAAGGGGCAGGGGACACGACTGGAGCAGATCTTTTAAAAGAGCTTGTATCCTTGCGTTTTCGACGTGCAGCGAATCGGGTGCGTCTTGCCCGCTTTGAAGCAATGCTCAATGCTGAGGAGGACGAGGACAAAATTAAGCAGTACAAAGCAATATGCTCTGCTCTTAAACATCGAATGGCAAAAGACACAGCTCGTATAACCGAATTGCTACGCTTACTTTTCCTGAGTCTTAATAAAATTGGGATTACACCTAGCTTTACAATAGTTTTACCTACTAATTTGGGAGGTGTCACTCACAATTCTGCAAAGCGTCCTGAAGAAAAAGAGGCACTTTATTCGATTGTAGGGGGTTCAGCGCATTTGGACTCCGATGGGAACTGTATTTATTTTAATGATGAACGTATTCCAATTTCATTTTTCGGCAGCACTTCAGGCAAGGCATATACACGAGCAGAAGTGGGTGCAATTTGTGGTAGCAAATATGAGTATCATACAGGTGTCCATTTAGGAAGGCCCGTCAAGGAAGGCATGCGGCCTTTGCACTATTATCACAACGAGGAAAGAGATTCTTGTTTTGCGCCTCTAATGAGGAAGGCTTCCACTTCCGTCGATAGCAAAATAGTGTGCAACCATTTAATCGTATCGAAGGCTGGCCACAATCAGGAAACAATGCCAATGACGCGCATTCTGTACCCAGCTCTTCTAACAGCTGAACCTGCTCAGTCATCCTTCAATATCGATGGTTATGCCGCAAGTCACACAACAATTTCTGATAACACTGACCTTTTCTACACAGATTCGCAAGACAAAAGTGTTCCATCAACTTTGCCCTTCAGCCACGAACATTCTCAATCTACCGAGTCATCTGCTTTTTCGAAAGCACCAGAGCTACGTAGCCCAAGACAACGTTGCATCTTTGGCGATGTTCAGCAGAAGTGTGACGAGGGGAACAGCAATCAGCTCGATAGCATAGCATCTCCCGTTCCTCTCTTTAGAACATATCAAAGTTTTATTACCAATGAGGGCAATAGGGACAATGCCAAGGACACTAGCATGGCTCAAATGTACCGCAACCCGTACTTGTACAACTTTACAACTAATGTTTACCGCTCTTTAGTCGAAGACCAATCATTGCTTTGTGTCAAGCCGATTCAGGTATCCTCTGTTGAACATTCTAGTGATGATTACAGTCGACCTTTTGACTCCAAAGCCTCACATACGACAGCAATCATGCATGCATGCAACACTGACTCCCCCCCGCTACTAACTGACGAGAGTGCTAATGAGACGAATGCTTTTCCTTTAAACCCCTTAAAGACGGAGCCCGCACTACCCATTACAGTGCCGACGACAGTAGTTCCTATTTCTTCTACTTTCCTCAAAGCGAAGCAAATGCGGGCAGCTCGAGTAGAGAGGGAGGCTGCTCTCAAACATGTATCACAAAAACAGCAGGGGGAATGCAACTTGCAAGAAACAGTGCCAAACACGACAGGCAATGAAGAGTATCTTCGCCTTGAGATACCGAAGCTGCCGCCTTTGCTCCCTAAACCGCAGCAAGCTGCTCAATTACAACGAGCTCAGGTCTTGTCTATTTTGCATGCAAAAAAAAAATTTCTAGGCTAGTCGTTATCATCTGTCCGTCTTGAAGGGAATTGTATAGTATCAAAGCAGGATGCATCCAAACAGAAGAAGTAATTTTTTTCCATTTGCTACCTTATTGCGGCACAGGTATGGGTGCCATTCTCAACTTCTTCGGAAAGTTTTATGTATAGCTCATGATCATTATATTTGAAGATGTTACATCAGTTTCTACTTTTAGCCTCAATAAAATATTGAACCGTCTTTCCTTTTCCCCATTAGGGAAACTCATTGCAGATGTAACAGTATCCAAAATATGCTTCCATCTAGGGGCGAGTGAAATCAATTACACTGATTAAAACGTATATGGATGTATTCTATATTTGCCCGTTATACTAAACTGTTTTCCTTGCTTCTTATAGTAGTGACGCAGCTTTTTTTTCTTTGCTTGTTTCCCATATTGAGTTTTCAAATTTTTGTTGATGTTAGCGACAGGGCAACTGACAGTCGATAAAGCGGAGCAAATTTGCAAGTGGTATTTCCGCATTGGATTCTGTTGCATGCCATGGATGTGGGTTGCGTTGTGGTTTTTTTTTTCACATCATCAATCACACAGCGACACCATCGCTTGGTACGTTAGTATGTCATTTAGGCTCTTCATCGGAAGCGGTATTTTTTATGTTTGCTTCTACATCAGCTTGTTGCTGCTTGTCCCTGCTACAAGTAAAATTTGGATTATTCCTCCGTTCACAGGCGAGTGGCAGCCTGGCTATTTCGCGGCACCTTTGGAATGACGCTGCTACCTGTCCTTCTGAAGCTTCATTTGAACTGCTGTGCATAAAGAATGCCTGTGTATACGAATTATTAGTCGAAATATTCTTAGTTGACTTCAATTGCGCATAAATTTCTCTGGAATTATTATTATTATTATTGTTTTTTTCTTCCCCGTTCTCAGGTGTACAGAAAGAAAGCAATATAGTATATTGGTCTGTGGGCTTGATCATCAGCTTCTTCTTTACATATCAAAATTTTGGCATCACTTAAATAATGTTCACAAAAAAACCAAAACCTGTGCACCGTGTTCGATCACATGGCACACACGGCAGTACTGACTTTAAAAATACCATGATTACTCGCAACGACATCCATTGCGGCTTAGTGGACTGCCCGCTCTGCCCCAACCTATTTCCAATGGAGGCCATCCCACCTTCGCTTCTTCAGACACGCCCCTTGCTAATTCCAGATACAGATGTTGTGCTGCAAAATGTTAACGCTTTAGAGGATTCTCGTGTCGAGAACATTATCTTCTTGAGTACGGTGTTGGCAGAAGTCCAATCTCGCAACAAGGCTATTTACATGCGCCTGCAGAACATAATAAAAGATGGATCTATTAAGCATTGCTACGTCTTTGCGAATGATCGCCATGAACAAACACACTGCCTTCCACTGAAGGATGAAACACCGCATGAATACAATGACCGGTGTATAGGCGTGGCCTCTCTGTGGTATAGCCGGCACGTATTGAAGGCCTTTCCTCTCCTTGACGAGGCCTTACCTGTGATATTCGTTACTCACAACAATACACAGAAGAAGCGGTTTGATTCCGCTGAAGAGGCTGAGATAATGCCGAACTTCCACTGCTTGGGTATGCGTGAGTATGTGGAAACTTTTATTAGTACCGATTCGGATCTTGCCGAAAAAGTCAAGATGAGCGAAACCCCCTCAGGCGGTGGTTCTTCTTCCAACACTGGGGCCAACATTTTCACCCCGTATCTTCCCTCAGCAGCGCTTGAATCAGGGGTAAAAATGGGACTCCTTTTTCGTGGCAAGCTGCGTATTAGTGATTCGAGCTGTTTTTTTGGCGAAATACGCGGCAAATTTGAGGGGCACAACTTCGATCGTATTATTGTTCCAGGCCGCAGTAATTTGAATCGCGCTATACATGACGATGTTGTAGTGGTTAAGCTCTTACCTTTAGGTCAATGGCGAAGTCGCGGTGGTCGCAGCAACCAAAACACCGCTAGCAGCAAGAGCACTAGTCATGATGCTTCTTCCCTGGACCTCGCGGCGCTGCCATATGAGCAGAGGTCAACCAAAGAGGGTGTGGATGTCGCATCCATGACCGAGGAGGAGGCATTGGGCCTGGGTTACACGGCCACAGGGGAGGTTGTGGGTATCGAACGTATGTGTCGCCGTCCCTTCTGCGGAAGCATTGACGCGGAGGATGTTGATCGTTTATCTGCCGGCTCTTCTGGGATGCTATCCCTGCTTTTCAGACCTAAGGATAACCGCATTCCTCGTATCCGGATCACCACGAGACACGCAAATGATCTCAAGGATAAGAGGCTTAGTGTTGTTATAGATGACTGGCCCTTAAACTGTAGCTTTCCACTCGGACATTATGTGGAGGTGCTCGGTAAGATCGGTGATCCTGACACGGAGGCAAAGGTTATTCTTATCGAAAATGATATCCCTCATTATGACTTCAGCGAGGCGGTTTATGATTGCTTACCCAAAGGTCACTGGTCGGTGACGCCGGAGGAGGAGGCCGTGCGGCTGGATCTACGCGATCTGGATATCGTCAGCATTGATCCATTGGGCTGCCGCGATATCGATGACGCCTTGCACTGCCGTGTGGTCAACCAGAATCACTGGGAAGTTGGTGTTCACATTGCCGATGTTACGCATTTTGTCGGCGAACAGACTGCCATTGATAAGGAAGCAGCTAAACGCAGCACAAGTGTATATTTAGTGGATCGGCGCATCAATATGTTGCCGCAGTTGCTCACTGAGAATCTCTGTTCCCTTGTTGAGGGTGAGGATCGCTACGCTTTTTCCGCAATGTGGGAATTTGATGAGAATCATAATCTTGTACAGAGTTGGTTCGGAAAGACCATCATCCGATCTCGTCGTGCGTTTTACTATGGTGACGCGCAACGCATGATCGATGACATACAGGACCAGTCTAATATAGCTCAATCACTGCGTCGCCTGATGACCCTCGCACGGCATCTTCGGGCTAACCGTGAAAAGGACGGCGCCCTTTTCTTGGCTTCACAGGAATTTAAATTCAAGGTCGACATGAACCATGTTGATAGAACGGATATGCAAGAGTATGAGACATTTGAGGCTAACTCAATGGTTGAGGAGTGGATGTTGTACGCGAACGTGGCTGTGGCGAGGAAGATTTACGAGCATTTCCCCAACTGGACTTTGTTGCGGCGGCACCAGCGGCCAGGGGATGGGGCCTTTGATGCCCTCAATGAGGCTCTCATGAAGAAGGTTAATCTGCGCCTAGATGATACCTCTTCATTATCTCTCAGTCGTTCGCTGAATTCTTGCGTTAGTCCGGTTGACGACTACTTCAACAAGCTCATTCGTATCCTTGCGACACGATGCCTTCGTCAGGCGCAGTACTTCTCAAGTGGTGAGATCCCGAAGGATGAGTACTATCACTTTGGCCTTGCTATGAGTATGTACACCCACTTTACATCGCCAATTCGACGTTATGCTGATGTCATTGTGCACCGTCAGCTCGCTGCGGCTATCGGCATCAGCGATGTCAATACTGCAATCATGAACGCCGGTAACGTTCAAGCGCTGGCGGAAGACATGAATTATCGTCATGAACAGGCGCAGCGCGCCGGACGCGATTCTCAGAATCTATACACGGGCTTTTACTTGCAGAGCATTGAGTCACGCGGCGCGGCGATTGAAGAGGATGCCTATGTGGTCCGTCTTTCGGATGCTTACATATCGTTGTTGGTTCCTAAGTTTGGTCAAGAGAGTCGCATCTTGAAGGAGAGCCTTTTGAGGGTTCCTGAGCTACTGGACAGCGTCCGCGTTAGGATTGACGTCCGAGGCAGTAATAAGCAGAATCCCTCTAGAGCGAAGATAGAGTGCTCTATTCTTGGGTACATGCGATGTGATTCCGAGCAAGAGGCGAAAATTAGCGAGGATCCTATGGAGATTGCAGACGGTAGAACAAATACAGCGACCGAGGATGATATTGTAACTCCTGAATCGAAAAAGCCGAGAACCAAGGAGAACTCCAGGTAATAATTAATAATACCAGATAATATTTCCCACACTCCCAAGGAGAAAGCGTGTATATGTACGCGAGTCGGAAACGAAAAGCACGAGTAAGACATAAAGACGCATCGAATCAGTACAGTGCGGATAAGAATTTGTTTGATGACAGAACTTAGCAGGGTATAATCTCTGTCCTTTACAATTAGAAATAACAATTGAAGGTGAGGCTAATAATCAGTTAATCTCAAAAACGCACAATGACTGAAGAATTCTTTAGTTTTGATGTATACATCTTTTATTTTGGGGGTGATTACAGTGCAGCTTAACGTCTTGAATTTCCATTCTAGTTGTGTTCTGAATCGTTGAATTCCAAATTTAGCTACTTTTTAATAGGAAAAGGTATACACAGCGCATCTTCCGTAGTTTTGTTCACTCGTGGAAATAAAGGATGCTTCTTCCCCTATCCTAGAGCAGTGTCCAGTTGTAAGGATCGTTTACTCTGACGTAAGTAGTTGATTTTCCATTTTGCTATAGCAAACCAAAGTAACACTGAAAACGCGGAACATTTTCTGCTTTCCAACACGCAGTTAAATGTGTAAAACACCATGTTCCCGCATGCGCAAAGTCATATTAAGGGTTTTTAGCTTCACCTCCAGCATGGCGTTTACGCCTTGCAAAAGGATCCCACTCGCCTTTTTGAACGATTGTCGCCGATACTATACGCCATTGCCGCCGACTCCATCTCCACAGGGAATAACGTGCCGTGTGGATGACCTTCTAGTTGAAATGCGCAACGCGGCTAGTCCCACTGAACCCCATGGCATCCAACAGAAAAAGCCGGGAGCGAATTATGGAGACGCAAGACCTTCACCTACCTTGCCATCCCCCGCTCGGTTACATGTCGAGGAGCTCTTCCAAAGCCAAGAACAGGGTATTAACGAACTTGAAAGCGGCCAGGGCGAGCTTGGTCCCTCGGATGATTTTGCGCAGGAAAATTCGTCGTGGAACTCAGAATTATGGATGCGGGGCGTGGAGTCGGCCGAGCGGGAGGCCGCATTCTACCGCACGATAGGCAATGAGGCTTCCCCGCTCCTAGCAACCTATGCGGTGTTATCGAGGGATGCGGGCGACAGCACCGTACCCGTTGATCCCAATTCGGCCTCTGTGCTCTCCCAATCTGAGGCGTGGGAACTCGATAGGAGGGTAGCATCAAGTGCCCCTCCGCCGGATCATGCATATCTAGATGATGAAATTGAATTCAGCCCTGACGAAGCGTGTTTCCTCGAATCGGATGATGAGGAGGGCATTCTGGAGCATACCTCCAACGTTTTTGAGAACGAAGGACACACCGGGGGAGACAAACGGGTGGATTTATTTGGTGAGGCATCTGTATTGCCCTCCGAGTCCTTGGAGTATGCTGACGATGATACTGAAGGTTACAAGGGCGACAATGAGATCGATCCAGACGATCCAGATGCTGAGGAGGGTCCGGATGTTCTGGTAGATAGTGGAGAGGAAATCATCAAACGCTTCTTTGAACATCAGCATTCAGCCCCCAACCCACCTTTACCATCCGATGAGAGACCTGATGTGGGTACGGAAGGTTTAGAGAGTACGTTTGAAGAGGATGCGAGTATGTGTGGGGACGATTTTCGTTTTTTTAAAGTGAATCAAAAGGATCTCGAAGCAGTGGCTTCTTCCTTTTCTTCGCATCTCTGCCAACAGGACTCTGAGGGCACTACACTGTCATCAGAGGCGTTTAACGACGTTGCGGCACAGCTGGCAGAATTAAAGTCTATGGGTGAGAGTCTGCCTTCACCGCTTCGATAGCTTGCAGACTCTTATGGACTTGGATCAAAAATCAACTAGTCAAGCAGCAACTCTTATGGTGCAGGTATATATATATATATATATTTGACATATCGAAAACGTTTTTAAAATCTTCCTGACTGACTAAAATATGTCTTATTGCTACTGTTGTAAGATAGTGGTCCAAATACTCGATATATTCGCTTTTAGTTCTAATTTGCAGGAAGATCTAGTATTAAATTCCATTATAGTAAAATCCAGTGAATAGTGATTCTCCCTATAAAGTTTGAAGGTCTACTTTCATGCCGAAGTGGGTTAGTCACTTGAGCAGTGGGTGTTTATGGTTTCGATCGAACTCCTCAGTTAAGTTGCCATCGTTTCGGCCTCACCATGCACTCCTCTTCAGGCGCCACTTATCACTTCACCCATGTTCTACCGCCTCGCCGTTTCTTCGCATCTCTACCCGTGACGTGCAGTATGTGCATTCAAGCGAAACACTATCTGGGATTAACAAAAGAAAGCGTAACCTCAACACCAAGTGGGTTACAAAGAGTACTAAGGAGTACATGCAAGAAGTCGATGGCAAGGTTCATAGCGCTTCATCTATCTTGACAACGCGGTGGGATAAACAGAACGATGTTTCTGCTCAACGTAAAGCCCAGCTTAAGAAAATAAGAGAGGAGAGTGCCCGTGCCTTTCAGAATGAGTTAGACCGTATTGATGAGGATAATAGCCGCCGCTGGAGGAAAGGTTATAATTTTTTTAAGCGTCAAGGATGGCCCTTTGTAATATTGTATTTATCGGCGTACTTCGTTACGTGGTTCGCTCTTTATATCGGTTTCGCTACTGGCTTTTTGAAAAAGGAGGCGGCCTTCGACTATATGTTTCTCCTTATAGGGTCGTACGTGTCTCGAGACCTTTTTTATCAGAGAATTGAAGCATGGGACTCGTACGTAAACGTTGGGTTTGCCTTTGTTATTAACGAGATGCTTGAGATATTCCGATTTACCTTGGTGTTGGCTATGTTTTTGGAGTTCAGGCGCTTTTTCACAGGAGCTAAGAAAAACATCAAACCTTCAATATTCCGTATGGGGGCCGCGGAGTCGTGATGCAGAGCGGGTGCGTGGTATGCGAATGAGGAAAGTACGATTGAGACTATGACATAAGGAAGGTCGAAGGGTGACTAAAGTTGGTGGAGAACTTATTACTACATGACAGAATAAAACGTATTTGCCGTTTATTTTTTAGCGGTGTGGTCGTGTGTGTGTGTGTGGGTAGGGGGGGGGGGGGGTAGGGGGTTTGGAATGCAAAAGAGTCGATCCCTTGATGTCTCAAATTTTTTTTTCCGTTCTCCTTCTTAATATTATCCCGGGTGACGCTGCCGATGGAGAGAATATATTTTTCACTTTTTTCCCATTTTGAATACAGAAGGAGGGACAGAAAAAGATATTAAAATTATATTTTTACTTATACCCTCATTTCAGAAGGGGAGATGTGCACACGGCAAGAACAGATTAGAGGAGGGGTCGGCTACTCCACTGAGCTTGCCGGTCGCGACCGCTTTAAATTCTTCCGGCATCCTATTGAAGCAGAAAGGGTTGAGTTCCCTGGTGAGGGTCCGGAGGGGGGGGATATCCATCATTCGATGAACCCCAGAGGGGCTCCGTCGATCCACTGGTATAACATTCCGAATCAGTTTTCCTCAACTTCCCCTTCAGCACCTACGGCTCACCTTGACCTACATTTGACGGGCGGCACTACTCATGGATATCGCAGTACTCACACCGGCAGGCGATTGAGGTCAGCGAAAATGAACCTGCCACCTCAGCATTTTCAGACTGGTGGTTCACGCAATGGGGCTTGTAAGCGCCGTGCCCGACCTTATCACCTTCCTACTCTTAACAGTGCTACTAGCGGTGCGCGGGGAAGCTTCAACAATGCTGTTCAAGGTTACACGCAGGCTGATATAGAAGCTGCAGCGTCTAGCAGCCGTGAGGTTGCGGTGCAGACCATGTATCGAGAGAATGATACGCAGACCGACCCTTACTCTCCAGATTATTATATCCCTGACGACGCCCCGAAGGATCCTGAGATATTAGAGCTAAAAGAATTAACCTGGCAGAACAAGGGGCTCCCTGCTGGCCAAGAGGAGGTGGAGCTTATTCTGCGCTTGCGCCGCCGACGTGAAGTTGAGAGGTCTTTGCAGACCTCGTCGAAAGATCCCGCTGTGATTGAGGAAAACCATAAAAAGCTTCGTGAGCTCGAAGAGATTGAGTGGAAAGAGCATGAGGAGCGCGTCGAGAAGCTCAACGGCCGTCGCCTGGAGCGAATGAAGACGTTACTACTGGATAAAGAGTCGACTCGCGAGGCTATCAACGAGGACCGACTCGCCCACATCAAGGATACTTACATGAGTGCACTTCGCGAAAAGTTGAGCAGTCTCTACTCCCGAAGAATGGCGGATAGTCATCAGATACATACCCAGCGATGTCGGCGGCGAAATCTTCTGTCCGGGAGTGATGCCGGGACTTTTGGAGGGAGGGGAGGGAGGGGCATGAGCACCCTCCGCAGCTCCGTTCCCGATGGGCGAGAAACAGCTCTCTCTTTGCCTACGGGGGGAGGGGGAGAGGGAGCTCCCGAGGCCGGCGCGCGGCAAACTCGCGTCCTCGCCTACGACGTCCGCCCCACCCTCCTAAGTGTGGCGGAAGGGGTGGAGGTGGTGGATCGCACCCGGAGCTCGCGGATTGAGCGGATCCCCGCCGAGACCTTCCGCTTTCCGGAGGATGAGGCGATTCGTGGGTTGCCGACGGTCTATCGCCGGCGAGAGGCGGAGCGGGTCGTTCACTCGCTCGACTACGCCCAGCGAAAGATCGACCGGGAGAAGGGCCTCCTCCGCGATGACGACTTCGCCGGCACCAGCCCGGCCCGACCGACCGCGGCACAGGTTCTCGATCTCTACCGCGTCACCCCGAAAGTCCAGCGCCCGGATACCCCGGAGCTGGAGCTGGAAGGGGACGCGGATGAGGAGGTCGAGGATGCCGCCATCTTGCTTCAGCGGTTGATTCGCGGCCGCGCGGTGCAGAACGACTTCTTTGAAGGCAAGGAGCGTTGTCAGGGGTTGATTAAGGAATTACAGGCCGCCTCGTACGCGAAACGGGCGGAGGAGCTCAACATGGCATCCTCCCAAGCCATCGCCGCGGAGGCAAGCCGACAAGAGGAAGTGGCGATTCAGGTGGTGCTCGACACCGCCATGGGGGACATCATGCGGGATACCCTTGGGTACCTCTACCAGGAGCTGCAGCGGCAACAAGATGCGGAGAGGCTGGAGCAGCTGCACATCGAGGCTGTGGCCGCACGAGAGCAGCGAGAGGCGGCCGAGCTTGCGCGACGTGAGGCCGCCTGTGTGGAGCGTGAGTGCGGTGAAGTGCAGTATAAGACGCTTGTGCGTACGACGCGGACCACCGCAGCCACATTTCTGGAAGAGTTATGCCATAAGGCGGTGGGAGAGACCGCCTTGCAGGTGGCGGTGGATCGGGAGCGTGAGCGGGAGGCGGCGTTGCTTCCGCGAGACCCAACAGACGGTGTCGAAAAGGAGAATCTGGTGTGCGACATGTTAGATAACTTTTTAGTTCCGGTGGTACTTGACCGCATTGAGCGGCGAGGACAGGAGCATGAAAAGAAGGCACCAGCCACTGTTGCAGAAGAAATTCACAACAGGCAATTTGCTCTTCTTGAAAATGCAGAAGTGAATGAATGTGAAAACAAAGGGGAGGCGAAGTAAGACTATAAAAGGTTTCGTGAGAGTTCGTTTTCTTTATGAGCTGATGAATGTTTTGTCTTTTGATGTAGATGCAAGGTGGTGTGTCCAAGGGGCAAGTTTATTATGCAGTACACAATGTATGTATTTAGAAGAAAAGCAAAAAAAAAAGTCTCATTACCTCTGTTGAATGATCTGTTTACGACTCCATTTTAGGGCCCTGAAGTTAATATTTTTCTTTCTCAATTAAATTATTTAATTAGAAGATATGTGTAAATAGTGTATATATATTTAATTTTCGGAGTTCTTGCTATCATTTACCGATGCTGTAATAACAGTGATGCTATGAGGTTTATTCACGACCCCGTATTTGCAAGTGTTGCTATGGTATGTTGGTGCGGCCTGAACAGTTATTGCGGTTCATTTTTCACCCGAATTTGTCATGTTGTCCTACTGCAATATTTGGTTAAGAAGAGTATATGGGGTGTTAGATCAGTGCAGAAATTTCTCTCTTTAAATGAAATTTGTTCAAGGGGAGTTATAACTTTGTTTTAAACACCTAAATTTAGATTTTCATATACGTATAGCATGAACACACGGAGGAAATTACTCCAAGCCAAGGATAGCGTTCCTTCAACAAAATGGCACCTCATGAATGAAGAGTATCATATTATATTTCTTCCAGAATGGCGTGAGCATGTTGAGTACTGGTATAACATGGGTGCGACGGGTCAGCAGCGCGAACTTTTTCGTCTTATCTGTTCCGAAATATATGTCCAGGATGAAACCAAACCGGACCCTACGTACTCCACGCAGTACACAGCCACCAAATGCAAAGAAGAGGCAAATCTTCTTATAAAATACTATGGCAAGGTGCTAACTAAGCTAGGCAAAGACCGTGCGCGTGTTTGGATTCTTCATGTTGCCCGTAATGGCTGGCGCCGGTGTACGGACTTTAGAGACGTATTTACTGGATGCCAAACTATTTTTGAAAATAAGAGTGTTCTACATGCAGATTATTTGCCCCCAGAGCCCCAATGCTACCCGACGGATCGTTCGAACTTCAAAAAGTCAACGGAGTTGATGATCTTGAAGTCGCAGTCCTCCACGCAGGCGACACCAGTAGCGTTGAGCGAGACCGAAAAATTTGATAAAATGTTGATGGAGAAGCGTCCGACTTACATTGTAAATGCTTGCGCGGAGCCCAAGACTCGCTTTACCAAACCCAAGAATCAATTCGATGGATTTAACATAGTGAAGACGCTGGGCTACAGTGATGAGTCGCCAGAAAAGACGATAGAGCAGCTCAAGGCAAAGCAGGCTGCGTTTCAGGAAAGCGAAACGTACTGTGTAGATAAGGATGGAAGTACCATTTACAAGGCCGAGCCAGTGACCAGCACACGGCAAAGAATGGCGGCGACGGGCAACGGCCGTATTTTAGATTGCGCTACGAGTGATCCCATTGCTCAGTGGAGGGTCAAAATATGTGATTAATGCACTCGAATATGTGTACTGCAAGATGGGGAAGGAAAAGGAACAATCCACTCCCTGTTACAAAAAAAAGAACTGGATGTAAAGTAGACTACAAGCGCTTTCTTTATGATTAAGCTCTTGCGCATCTGATTTTCTCTCGAAATTACTTCCCCCCTTTCCTTAAAATTGATCACTCTTTGCTGGGAAGCATGTTTTATACAATTGTTGGATTTGAACCACTTTCTATTTGACGTTTTATAATATAGTTATCGCTTCAAAGTCTTGTTTTGTTAGCAAATTTTTACTCCTTACAAACATAACTGGAATCTAGCGAGCTTGGGTGAAATCTTGTGAATGTGAAGACCCACACAAGGAAGTCGCTTACCATAGAATAGTGATGAGTGAAATCGAGGGTTTGATTCGCTACCGACTTTTGGGCTCTCATCCCGCTGCATCTGGTCGGTACCTGACCCTAGGCTTTCCAGGCGACACCATTACCGCCTCACGCCTTTTACATGCGGTGATTACGGAGCATCAGATTAATTTGAGCACCTTCAAGCTATCCACCGTGAAGCTGCTGTCCTCTGCATCCACTAATCATACTCGAAAAACGGATGGCACCGTCGCGGAGGTGGAAACTGAGGAAGCGGTGCCTGTGCATGAGACGGATACGCTACACACTTACGATGTGCTTGCTATCACGGTGTCTAAGCGATCTTTAATGGATCACACCACTCAAGAGACAACGCAGCGATTAAGGGAGCAGAAGCAATTAATAAAGGAAATGGAGAGCCAGATGGGTATAGAGGTAGCGTGTACATCTTCCACTTCCATTGATGCCATAGCGAAGCGAGACGATGCTTATGCTGGTTCTTCCAAGCCCATTTTATCTTCTAGTCCGGCTGATCCGCTCAGCTTCGAGCGTTCAGCGGCGTTGGCAATGAAGACGTTTCCTGTTATGCGTGGAAAGCGTGGCTCCTTCAATGCCAGCAACGAAGATACTAACGCGCATAGCCCACGGACGTGTGCACTCTGCGACTTAGACATCTTCTGTGAGATTCGAACCGCGTGTTGTGATTCTCTTGTCTGCGGGACGTGTCTGGAAGCCGCGAGGGGTATGACAATGGCCGATGGCGAATGCCCTGTTTGTGGACGAATCGGAGAAACCGCGGCGCAAGGGAGCGGCTCCTCTGACATAATCAAACACGAGCGAGAAGATGTGGACTTGCGTGGAAAAACGAAAATCCAAAAATTGAAATTAACCTCAAATAGTTCATGTGTAACAAATAAAAGCAAGCCACTGGCTTCTTTTTGTGGCATAGGGGGGGAACGATCGAAAGAGGTAGGGGGAATCGAGGGATGCCATTCATCGAATACACCGACCGAGGGAGGGCGTAGGTGGCTTCCCACAGTAGAGGATTCCTGGGAACGTGTCCCTCGTGTCGGCCGTAGCCTTGAAGATTCAAGGGGCTGTAATACCAGCGGGCTCGCAGAAATTCCGCAAATTGAACATCAACTGCAAAATGACTTGGATCAGATTCTTTCATATCTCGACGTGCCGGACCCATTAACAGAAGATGCAAAGGCGAGGCGGAAGCGGAGCGAAGCACTAATCATTATGGATGATCAAATACTTCAGATTTAGTGTTGTATTCTTTTTCTGTATTGATGATGAATCATGCGGGTAAGTTTGCAACGATTGGCTGATCTGATTCTGAGTGAGTAATATACTATACTTGAATTTCTAAAAAAGACTAGAGGCATTGATACCTCCAGCTTCTTTGATACATGCACGTGTGTCGAAATATTTTGAAGCTGTGAAGTGAGTTATCGATTTGTCCTTTCAACGAGATACCAGCGCGAACCAATACTATGTCTTTGTGTGTTTTCCATCTACAGTCTCTCTATTTCTCATCTAAAGCGCCTATATTACACGAATTGGCTTACTACCATTTATTCATTGTCTTCCACAATACGGTACGGGATAACTATATTGCATGCCACATTCTGTATACCTATATCTATATGACATTTCGAATGGCATGGCTCGTTCAATGAGCATGCTTTTGATAGGTCGAGAGCTCGAGGGCATCTGGCACACTTCCATAGTTGTGTTTGCACATGAGTTCTACTTTGATGGCGGCGTTGGAATCATACGAGAGGCACGCCCCGGTCACACCCGTTTCGGGGCACCTTACCGCACTGAACATCTGGGCGACACTGAGAGGAGCGAATCTGAGTTTTTATTGTGGGTTCGACAGCAGTCTCGAGATGACAGCAATTTCGGCCCCAACGGCTATGATTTGCTCCGTAACAATTGCAACCATTTCACACAGGCTGCCTCACAGTTTTTATTAGGTCGTGACATTCCAAGCGTTGTGCGAGATATGATTCCAATGCTGCTGAACACTCCCCTTGGGCGGATGCTACGACCCCTTCTCGATCGATCAACTTCGCACCATGAGATGAATAGCGTAACTGGGGGCAGTGATGGCGCTTTTGCACCCTCAGCTGTATCATCTTCGGCTTCTAGGACAGGCACGACTCCGGATTATTCTATGCCGTCCACTTCTGACCAGCAGTCTACCGTTGAGGGTTTATTAAACCCCAGGTCATCTTTTACTGAGGGTGAAGAGGAGGACTTGATGCTCGCCAGGGTCATGCTTGAAAGTAATGAGCTTCTTGGAGACAATACTAATGAAGAGGGTGTTCGAATTACGGTACAAGGACTTGAGTTATTGCAACGTATCCTTCAAAATATCATCAATAACCCCCGAAATGCCAGCTATCGTAGCTTTTCTACCAAGAGCGAAACTTATGTCACAAAGCTGAAACCAATCGAACATTTTGGAGTTTCAAATCTGCTTTCTTTAGTAGGGTTTCGTTTCCAGACTCAGGATGTCGACACCAATATTGGAAGATGGATCTTGAGCGATGCGGACGGTAGTCAAGCACTGCTTCGTCGTGTAGTCGATGTGATTGATGATATAATAGAAAATGTAAATTACAACGCAGCAATTGCAATGAGCTCGAGGGATCAGACTGAGCCACGCACATAGACAAGTTTAGATCGTCGAGGAAACTCCAGTAGCTTTGGGACTTTGGAGGGTTCATTTAACTAACCTCCACACTTTTACTTTCTACGATACTACCATTCTTCTCTACCAAAGGATTACACGCCATTGTGTATATGGAGAGGATACAGAGGCGCATTGTATTCGATATTAGTTTTGGAAAGAGACGACCATGAACACTGCCTTGCGAGGCGTTGGCTTTTTTTCAGACAGCGTACCTACTCAGATTCGTTACTTTAATTTAGACGGAATAGAGAGGGATATCGACAGTGACTTTGATGTGGTATGTATATGAAAAGAACTTTGTCAGCTCGAATGCAAATTCCAGGATGGGCTGCAGTGGCATCCGCCAAAGAGGTGTTGATTTTAACTAACGCTAATATCAGTCTTTTAATGGGATTCATATTGGCTAACATGTGCATTCATCTATTTAGCTTTGCGCAAACCTCGGGTCCACTTTATTTGGAGTGGGTACATAATGTGAAAATGCCTCACGGGCGACGTGGGGTGGGAATATGATAGATAGGAACATGGCCAATTCGCCTTTGCAGTCGTTCTACTTATTGATTTCAAGGAGCAAAGGGGATATTTTTTTAACCACCTTTCGCAGCGCAGTAGGACTTACAGACATGTGATTTTACAAAAGGATTGTCCTTAGGCCTTCTTGAAGGTTTTGTGTCCTGCATTGCTCTCCATATTGCAAGCGAGAGAATCAATTAAAGCGAGATTTAGAGTGTCTAAAATCGATCTATAAAGGTTTCTCTTTCGGACTAAAGGGTTTAAAAGGAAACGGGCTATATTTGGATTATTATTGTGAATATTCTTTTGTTATGGCACTAAAATGGAAGGCCAGAGGGATCCTTCATCTTATGCTTGCAGTAACAGCGAGCAACACGTTTTTTGAAGGATTTGTATACCCTTTGGCAAGCATCGTCATCGTGCATGTAGAATAAGTTCAGTATCATTGCACCTGTTATCTGTATTATGTCCTTCTAGCCTCAAAAGTAGACATAGTTGTAAGGTTCTCTTTTATTTTCTTCAGACATTTTATCGCTTTTTAGAATTGATCTACTTATCTTTGACTTATTCCTTACAATACCGCCTCCAATTTCTCTAAATCCCTTTGAAATAGGGATAGTTACTAATATAGCATTTCATAGTATTTTAAAGTGAAAATATTGCCGATCAGCGTGCGGAAAAATGGATGACATAAAGCCAATTTCTCCATTCACTTTCATTTCTTGGAAAGAGGACGAGAACTCTATAGTAGTCGGAACCAAGGACACTTCTTTCGGGTACGTAGCTCTCATGCAAATCGACGGCATAGACATTGATGATATTGTAAACTATGCGAAAAGTCAGAGGGAAAAGAACTGGCAGAACGAATTCGCTAAAAACTTCCCTTTTTATGTCTTGTCAGTAGCGGGTCAGAGAGATATGCCCTGCTTCGTGACCACCAAGCATGCCACGATAGAGTACTGTGATTTACAGACGAATGAGGTCCTGGAAACTGAGCTGGAGGCGACCGAGGACGCTTACAATGAGTCTGTGCGTATTGAGGCCGCACGAGCTGAATATGATAAACTTCAGAGTCAGGAAAAGGGGACGCTTCCATCGGTAGACACTTTTGCTGGTATTAAAAGAGCTGCACGCAGCGCCGATGACAGCGATGCCGGAGAGGAGGATCTTTATGAAGATATAGATGAGGACAACGAAAATGATGCGAACCACTCGAAGCGGTTTATGCTTGACATGATCTCCTCCCAAATTCACTCAGCAGTTTCCATCGGCGTGGGGTTGGGTCTTACGAGTAAGGAAATCAAAGGGGCCTACAGCGCTGCGGTAGGCCCGTCTCAGGTTCCGCAAAACCTTGACGAATGTATGAAGGTTGCAGAGGGCAACTCTGTCTTAATGAAGTTTTTTGAGGATCTTCAGCAATCCGATCGAGGGAATTGCCAGCATCAATGATGGTGCAAAGGGAAAGGGGCATCTCCGGAATTTTTACTCGTATAAAAGTAGTGAAGTAAACTCACTAGATAAAGCGTTAGATCTTTGAAGAGAAAATAAAGGAGTTTTTGGAATTTTGATCAAATATAAAGGCAGTGCGTGGGAAATAGTCTACAGGGGAGGATAAGAAGAGTGCCTATATGCATCCTAAATAAAATTGTGAAAAATGTGATCACCTTTAATGTAGTTAAAGGTGTATCTGAATTCAGTTAGAATTTATTTTGCTTTTTTATTACATGCATTTATGTGTCAAAGGGTGATCTGGGATTCCTACTCCTTAACATTCGCTTTGCATCTATCGAGTATAAGGTTTAGCATGTCGAGAAGGCTTGCTATTTCTGCACCGTTTTATCTGAACTTTTTTGCATTTGCATCTTCACCTTGCGCTAAACAACTGATTGGGGGTTAGCTTGTTTATATTAACATTAATCTTTAATTATTTTCACAGTTAGTCCCTTCTCTTGGGTTACATATGTGTCCATGTGGGGAAGTTAGAGGCAATATATATATATAATATACACCCAAAAAGCACAGAGGGCTTGGTAAGAATTGGTAAATAACGACACGGATGCTTGGTTAGGAAGCATGCAGACACCAGTTGGGTTTATATTTTGCAACTCCTCTCTTTAGTAAAGTTTGATTAGAAACGTATCCACTTCTGGTTCTCTACTTTATTTTCAATCTAGATTCACACTTATTTTTTCTGCGCAAATATCTTATACAGACTTCTTCACAGTTTTTGGCATTTTGATATCCAAAAGTGTCTACAAAAACTTTATACACGGTATAAATTTTTATAAAGTTCATCTCTAGAGTTCTCTAAATAACTAACTGGTTAAGCTAACTGCAGAAAATATTTTTCTCGCTATCATTATACACGAATTACGGACTATCTATTTATAAAAAAAATATACAATGCCCATCGTACCAAATATAACCATTTCGCCAGTTCACGTCCCAGATGTACAGCGTTTGGACCGAATAATTTCCGAGGAAAATAGTCCATCGGGATCATCAAATACTTCACGCTCTTTGAGCAGCTTTAGTCGCACTTCCAGTTCGAACAGTATTACATCATGGAATGTAAGCAGAGAAAATATAAAAGAAATGCAGATGGAATTGGACATTCGGAAAGAACGAATACACGAACTTGAGCAGCAATACGAAGACCTCCTGCGTCGTAAAAATTACGAAATTGGTGAACTACAGGAAACGCTCCATCAAAATGTTCAACAATTAAATCGATTCAAAGGAAAAGGAGAAATTATACAAAATGAAACCAAAAACGATGCTAATGAAATGAAGGAAATACTTCAAAGGTTTACCATCACTGAAGAGGCGAAGGGTGATGCCGAGAGAGCCAGGATAAGCGTTGAGGAGGAGAATAACCAGCTTTCCAGAACGCTGGAGGGACTAAAAGGTAAGTATAAGGCTCTACTTGAGGAGTCTGACAACCAGGCCAAGAGATTTGCGTCCGCCGAGGTGAATTATGCAGAGCAGCTGTCCCTGGCGCAAAAGGCGTTTGATGAGAAACTTGCAGCATTGGAGAAGGCGAAGAGTGATGTTGAGAGGTCCAGGGTAAGCGTTGAGGAGGAGAATGACGAGCTTTCCAGGAAGCTGGAGGGACTGAAAGGGCGATACAAGGCCCTACTTGAGGAGTCCGAGGCCCAGAAAATCAGGTTTACGTCTGCTGAGGCGAACCATACGGAGCAGCTGTCCTTAGCTGTGAAGGAGAATGACGAGCTTTCGAGGAAGTTAGAGGCACTCAAGGGGAGATACAAGGTTGTTCTTGAAGAATATGAGGCCCACAAAATCAGATTTGCATCTGCTGAAATGAATCATGCAGAGCAGCTGTCTCAGGCAATGAAGGAGAATGATGAGCTTTCTAGAGAATTTGAGGGGCTGAAAGGTAAGTACAAGGCCCTGCTCGAGGAGTCCGAGGCCCAGGCCAAGGGATTGGCGTCTGCCGAGGCAAATGTATGCAGATCAGCTAAACCTGTCACATAAGGCACTT